ATAGCCTAAGACTTAAAAATGCCCTTAAAATTTTTTAAAATTTAAAATGTAGTTATTGGCTCGTATAAATGCACAGTCAGCCAATCATGTTTGAATTTAAAGGTGTAAGAGTGTTCCTTGTAGTTCCTGATCACCCAGCTCGGCCGCATTTACAGGGTATGAACACCAAGTTGCGACATACTTTCCACCGCCGTGCCGACATCCTTGCCACCTCCGCTTTCGCTTGGCTGGCGGTGAAAGGCGAGAAAGTGTGCCAAGAAGCGAGTAACAAGAGACAGTCAAACAAAACTGTGACACAGGAGCTGGGGCGAGGGGCAGGAGTCGTGGCAGTGGGGCAGTGGGTAAGCAGGTCTCAAAGGACTTGATGCACTTAAAACATCGTGGTGGCCATTAAAAATTATATGCAATAAGCAGCAACGACGGCGAACAAACAGCAAATAATGAAATTATAATTAAAGCCAGAGTCAGGGCGAAATAAGACCATCAAGTGCACAAAATGAAGCGACCACAAAATGCAGACAACGAATTCAATTACCTTCCAGTATCCTGTCAGCCAAAGTGTGGGCGTTGGAGGGGCGGGATCGGTGGCGAGGGTGTGGTTGTGGCGTAATGAAGAAATTATGAAGTGCATTAAAGCGCAGAAAGGCAAACGGGCAAACAAAGCCGGGGCCAAAAGGACGAAACGAAGATGAATACACTGATTGAGCTGCCCCGAGGATAAGGCAGCAGAAAAACGGGAGAAAAATGAAAGGCAGGAGGCGATGGCAAAGGACAGGACAATAAAATGCAGCCAGCGGCAGTGAAAGCGAAAAAAGCGGGGTAAAAAAGAAGGAAAACAGCGAGCAAACATTGGGGGAAATCCGCAGGAGGTGGACAAGGAGGTGGGAAAAACCAACCGAAGGCGGAGTGGAGTAAGCCAATTACCAAAGCCAAAACGAGCAGCGTACACACAATAATTGTTTCTGTCTTCTTTGTATACCCTTCAAGATGGCACCTTCATATCGAGAACATATTGAGAAAAATCACAAAAAATATAAAAATAATTAATAGCTATATAAAGTATATTAACTAGCTTTACTTTATGTTTAAAGTGTTATTCAATTCAATATTTGCACTATTTAAGTGGTATTTACATTAATATCAAGAACAATAATATATTTTTTGCCTGATTGGCCGCCTTCGTTTGAGTCGGTATATTTTTAGCCTTGCCAGGCCACTCAGATCTGCTCCCCTTTTGGGACCTCCTGATCTCCCTGGTGGCCCCTGGGCCCTGGAAGTCCCCCTTTTCTCATCCACCCCTCTTGTAATTAATTGAAATGCCTGTCGCGGCCAAGGCTGACGAAGGACTCTCAACGTCCTTGACTTTGGGGCTCGAGTGTGGAGCCGAAGAACGGTCGCAATCTCAATGGAAAAACTGAGAAATTTAAAATAATTTAGAGTGGTGTGGTTCAGTACTCGATTTAATGTCATGATGTAGTTGTTTTGCAATACAACATTATAACAAAAATCAATTAATTATCATAAAATGAAGCTCCGAAGCATTATATTTAATTAAATATATACTTTACAACAACTCAACTTGAGTGTTGTTATATTTAATCCCCTTCTGTTAAGAGTAAACACGATTTGTCCCATTACTTGAACTTTTTATTCGATTTGTTTAGTTGTTTGTATACAATTTACTGCCAAACATCCACCACAAACACTCGTTATTTCACCGCCAACAAATTTACCCACTTAAACAAATTTAGATTCAATTTGCGCGCGTTTTAAACTCAATTAAAGTTTTAGGACCTAAATAACATTTAAATGCCATGTCATTTGATAACACAAACCGGCGATTTGTCACGTGAAGCGAGTGAGGAAATGGAGTGCCGAAAGTTAGGTGGACTTTGGGCGGATATATTTTTGGGGGGCTGTCGATGGGCGCTATGGAGTTGCTGGTTTTGCAGGAAGCCAACTTGTCATTCATCAAACTTTTTCAATAAAACTTTTGCGCCGCTTCTCATCGCTGGCCAAGCTGCAAATCCGTCGCCCGTTGCAAAAGCCGAAAAAGCTTTCTCGGTAAGTGGAGAAAGTCAAGTGCGGGCGAGTGAAATGCAAAGTTCCCGTAGTCCGCCCGTCCAATTTCACTCGAGAGTTTCGATTTCCAGTCGCCGTTGTTGTCTACTGTCATTGTCAACAGTCGCCCATGGCCATGCCCCCTGATGTACTGCCCCAACTTCCATCGGAATCCACTTTCTACACCGTGAAACAAGACTTTTTTCAGTCAAATAATAGTATTGTTTAACATTTCCATAAATACTAAATAAATACTAGTAAAATACTAACTTAATACTAATTAAATACTAACTGAATACTACTAAAAAAAAACTAAATACAAGTAAGAACTTATCATCAATCTGTACAAAAAAAAATTACGTTATGTTACATCCCTTAAAATATAAATCATTTTAAAAAACACTTTCTGGACTTAAAAAAAATTGCTTAAATTTTTTCGATATATACTTTTCTAATTTCTGTTAAATTTATTTCTATTATTTTTAAATTATACAATTTTTCTTTATAATATAAGCTCTTCTCTTTGAAACTAGTAATCTTGTTAAATTTATTTAATTTATATAAGATGCACCCCCCATTTCTCTCAGTGCACAGCATTCAATTCGAAGCACTGACAAACAAATATTATATTGTGTTCCATATCGATTTCCTCTTTAGCCGTTCCTGCATTCAATTTTCAGGATGAGCCATGCAACTTTTATGTTGAGCTCATCATTTTGCCAACTGCTTCGGGTGGCAGGAGCAAGCAAAAAGGGGCGGTAAATTGGGCGGGAAAATCGGATGGGTTTCCCCATACTGAATGCCGAATGGCAGGGAGCTAAGCGGTACAGACAAAAACAAGATGGAGCAACGGGTGAAATTGACAAAAGAAGCTGCTCGAAGGACTCGATGGCTGAGTGAACTTCCAAGGAGCAGGACCAAAGGGGATCGGGATCGGGTCGGGTCGGGTCGCATAGTTGAGCCGTAAACAATCAATGCAATCTCGAGTTGGGAAGCACGAACAGACGGAGCTCCATCAATTTCCATAATTAATCATGCAAGACACAGCACACACAAAGGGTTAAGCGACGGCTTTCGGTGCCCTTCAGATTGAATCAAATCAAATCGAATTGAAAACTCACAATGCAAACGCTTCACTCGGCAATCACTCGAATGGTCTCCCGAAATAAAAAGAAAAGCCCATCCAAATTTGATGGATTATATCTTAGCCGCAAGTTGAAAGATTTTTTTCAAACAAATACATGAACCCATTTGACTTATCTTAGGCATATAAAAGAAAATATTAACTTTTTTAATACGCTATACCCAACAGATGGCCACACTGCGAATGAGTTATGTATAGTATTCATACGGCTTGTTGTACAAATGCTGTTATTATTTTTTTTAAGGAAGTGGATCGCATTTTTTCAGTTTAAATAATTTATTTAAAAGCACTAGAATATTTTTAAGAAGATTTAGTTTTCTATATTAAATATTAAATTAAATTCATGCAAAATCTATACTTGCCAAAAAGTATATTTACATTTTGGATTGGAAAATGAGGATTTTTACATATAAATTAAACATTTTTTGATACCCCAAAATACTTGTAAATTAAATTCCAAACACAAACAAAAAGACTAAGCAATTTCCAACTTTAAGGGTTGTCCAAAATATATACACTCCCCCACAACGCCTAATAGATTTTCTATAGAAAATCCATTCAAGGCTGCTGCGTTGATTTTCCGCCCGCCCAAAAAAAAAGTTCGCCATGCATAAATTTCGACCAGGCGACAAAAACAGCCGCGGAACCGCAAGCGCGTTTTACGAGCGTTTTTTCTCGCCTGCCAACCTCAAGATGCGCAAAAAATATCTGCAACGCGGCCAGGCCAACGGCTGTGGATTCATGGCCATGAATTGACCCAAACTGAAAATGGTTAGCACGTTTTGGCAGGGGTTAGTCATGGCCAACGGCGAAACAATCGGGTTAAAGGGGGGGAGGGGGTTTTCGGGGGTTTCGCGGGGTTAACGGGGTGCAAAAGTACAGACATTGCCGCTTACGGTTCGTAATACAGCCCCAGGCAACCAGCAGTATTCTCCTAGCTACACAAAACAAAAAAACAGAAATTGAAAGGGAAAACATATATAGAGTACACGTAAAAAAGAATAAATCAAAAGGTGGACAATGACTGGCGAGCATCGGTGAAGAAAACTGAAAGTGCAGAGTGAAAACTAAACTTTTAAGTCGAAACAAAAGTCTATCAATGTGCTGAAAAACATTATGTTAAATGCCTATAAACTAAATTAAATATAATTATAATTTTAAAGACGAAATAAGACTGAGGTAAAATTGGAAAATATTTAGAAACGTATTTTCTAAAAACAAAAATAAATATACATTTTTAAAAAGCTCACAAATATTGAATCTTCTTAACAACCCAAGTTTTATTTTATTAAATAATATTTTTTTATTAAATAATATTAAAGAGATAACTACGTCTACGAGCATATAAAAATTCTATGAATTGACTACCTTTGTTTATAAGAAAGGTTAATATAATATAAATTTCAATCTCTTGGATTTCCAATAGTTAAACAGCCTTTTTTCAAGGAATTATATAATTGTTTTCCCTTTTCCGACTTTTAAAAGCCTTTATTATGTTAGAAAAGTATTAGTAATCAGTGATTAAATATAAAATCCATTTTTTAGCATCTGATTACTCATGGTACTCGACTGGTTACATTTATAAAATCAAACATCCATAATCATAATTCAATTATGGCTTTTAATGGTAACGGCTGTTTAAAAAGAGATTTCACAAAGAAATAAAAAGTGATTTCTAGTAATAACCCATTTTAAATTTACTAAACAACTTCTTCCTAGATTGTCCTAACTCCCCTATGAAAATGCATGAAATGCCCATGGGGATGCAGTGGACCCTCTTGTGCCCCCGGCTTACCATTCTGGGTGGTGCTGCCCTGGAAGAGGTTCCGCAGATAGGTGATCAGCCGCCGGTGGAGCGGTCGATGGCGGTGCCGCGAGGACTTCCGGTGCGAGGAGGAGGACTCCTGGCCGCCGCCGCCCTGCTCCACATCCTCCATGTCCAAGGTGGACACAATGGCAGCTCCTCCGCCCGATCCACTGGCCACCAGCTCCTTGCCACACTGACTGGCGTCCACGATGATCTCGATGCTGCGCTGAGTGCTGGACTTTTTGATACCCAGGCCTGCGGTGGAGCAACTGCTGCCGGAGGGACCACCTCCACCACCAGCACCACCAGAGGTTATGGTGCCAATGAGGGCATCCGTCACACTTGACCCTGTGCCGGCAATGCTACTGACCGTCTGGTGGTGACCCTGCTGACCCGACTGCTGGGTGCCACGACCCGTGAGCAGGTGATGCTGAGCGGTGGAGGGCAGCTCGTTGACGGTGCCATTGCTGTGACTGCCGCGGTAGATCAGCTCCGTTTCGTTGCTCACCTGGCGCAGGGCATGCAGACCGGTGTGCGATGCACTGCTTGTCAATCCTCCAGAGGATCCAACTCCAGTTCCACCTCCTCCTCCGCCTCCTCCACCTCCTCCTCCGCCGGAGGAACCACCATTCAGACCCGTATAGTAGGCACTATTGGGTCGCTGGCTGTGCTGCACCTGCGGCCCGGCCATCTCGTTTCTCTCAGTGTATTTTGTTTGGGTCCTGCTGGATCGGTTAGTTCCTCCTCGTCAGTCTCCTCCTCCTCCTGCTCCCGATCCTCTCTAGAGGCTGGCCTTTAATTGTCGCTAGCTGGTTTTAGTGGTTTTAGTGGCATGTTGGACATTTACATGTTTACGGCGGTGACTGGGTTAGGCAAAGTGGGGTTAAGCGGAGCGACATCTGCGAGAAGCGAGTAAAATCAAGCAAAAGATATTATAATTCAGATCCAAAGCGTTAGTTTAGTCTATGCCGATCAAAGCATTATTTAAAAAAATATATTTTTAAAACTAAAATGTTTTCAAAAAGTTAAAAGAATGCATTTATAAATCTTTAATTTCAGGTTAAAAGATAGGATATATTAAAAAATGTATATATGATTATCAAACATATCATTACAACGTGTTTTTGAAACCAATTATAAATGTATAATATATTTTATAACCAAATTAAAATATACCAAGTCTGTTTTCCTCAAAAGTTAGGTAAAATTCAAAGTAAGTGTATAAATACTTTTGTAAATTAAACATTATTTAATTTTATTGAAACTTTACAAAGCTATAGTTTATAAAAGAGCTGTATTTATAATATTTATATTTTAATTATTTTTTAAACATAACTTTAAAATTATTATTATGTTTTTTATAATTTTTCAAATTATCTTAATTTGATCGGAATAGATTTTAGTTAACAAAGAAAACTATTTCCAGGAACTTTAAAACATTCCACTTGCCAGCAGCAATGCACTTGTGTGTGTGTGTGGGTGTGTGTTAGTGCGCGTACATGAGTTTAAGTTTGTGTGTGTGCGTGTGAATATTATTGAGCTCTTGTAAGCGGCTTTGTTATCCGATTTTAATCCTGTTTACTATTTGATACTGAAAACTAGACAATTGCCTTCCCAGTAAACTGTAACAGACTGAAGTGCCTTGTTTAATTTATCGACATGCCAAGGAGTTAGTAAAGCAATTTGCACTTTCAGATTATTATTTTGAACAGCATTTAGGTGCCACTTAGCCAATTAAACGACTATTTCGTAATTTTGTTACATTATCAAATTATTAAACAGAAAATTTAGAACCACTTGGGTATAATTAAATATAAATTGATGGTTTATAAATAAAGCTTTTGACTGCAGAAGATAGTTTACTAAACAAAAATGTTTAATAATAACCAGTAGGCCCTGCAATGAACTTCAGATGGGCTAAGTCGTAAACTTAGGACATTAGTTCAGTTTTGGGGCCAATCTCACATAGATCAGTTCGGGAAACCAGCTAAAATTCAAAATTTGTCCGTGTGAATAGCTTCGTGTTTTATTTTCTCTACCTTTCTGGCCGTTTGCCGTTCACCGTTGCCCGTTTTTTAACCACCATGAATACTCTCAAGTCCGACGACAAGCCCTTCAATCCCTTCTACATTGGCCCGCATCCCAGTAGGGCATGTGCCATCCCCGAGATTCCCGGCCAGCAGTGCTCGCCCAACTGCCAGCCGCCGGAGGGACAGGCTGCGCCGGCTCCTCGTCCGGATGCACAGGATGCCCAGAGTGTGCCCAGCGGAGCTGCGGGCGGCATGCTCATCGTGGGCGTGGCCAATATATATAGCACTGTGGAGGTCCTGGCTGCCGCCGCTCGAATGGGAGAGGCGGGCGGAGCGGGAACGAGAGCGGCAGGAGCGGATCAGGCCAAGACGGGGCCCAACAACACCATATGCAAGCCGTATCCCTGCATGGAGGGCGCTCGATCCGAAAGTCCCGGCTGTGAATGAACCAAAGAAAACTCACCCAGGATCAACAAGACAATCATCTACCAACTGGCCATCTAAATCAGCTCTAACTACCTAAATTAGCCCCAAATACTTGAATAAAAACCAAGAAAATTATCCAAACTTAGTTTATATATAAAGAAAAACTTGATTAAGGATGTAATAATTTTTGGGATTGGCATTTCGTTTAATTTTTATTAAAATAAATATCATATTTTAAAGTAATATATCGAAAAAAAATTATAAACAAACTAATCATCTACCTACTGGTCACTTAAAACAGCAATATTTGTACTTAAGCTAGCCCCAAATACTTTAACATAAAGCCAGAAAAATCAACCAAACCTATATATAGAAAAAACTGGCTTTTGGATAGCATAATTGTACTATACAAATCAATCAAAGGTAACCATTTTGGTACTGTCCTGGTCATTTAAGCCAAAAATCCATTCTTAGCTTTAATGAACACTACATAAAGAAATTTTTTTTACAAATATTGAATTTGTAACATAACTGGTTTGTATTCTGTAGTGATTCTAAGAAGATTTTTATATATATAAATATAGATAGATAATAGATTGAGGTCAGTACTCAAGCTAACAAAATTGCTTGGAAAATATGTTAAGGTATTATATTTGTTAGCTTTAATATCAAGCCTTGGTTATTTCTTTGAGACGACTAAAAAGTTATTTTGCTGCCTGTTAACCCCGTTCAACAATAAACGATTCGAGTGGAATCCCATTTGGGGAGTATTATTTTTGAAAGAATTTCGTTCGCACATTTGCAAGCCGTTGCGATGGATTTCATCTGGAGCTGCAGCTGCATCATTTATGGTTCGATGGCAACTGGCAAATGGATCAGGAGCAGCAAGAGCAGCAAAAGCATCCACATCCACATCCACATGCAACTTTCGGTGGCCAGAAGAGCGGTGCGTTCGGCCTGGAGAGTCTATCGAACGTATTGCTTTTGCAAATTCAATGAAGTAAAAATTTATTATTTATTGATAGACTTATGCGAGTGCACAACAGCAGGAGGAGCAGCAACAAGGAGCTGAACACTTTGTGCCCACACCTTGCCCCACAAACAGTGCTGCCAAGTTGGCTTGTTTTCATAAAAGATATTAAATTTTAAAAAAAATGTATGTAAACTAAATCAATTTTAAATAATATTTAAGAAACCTAAAAAAACATATTGACCTAAAAACTATTTAACCATATTAAGGACCCATTTTAAACTTGAAATTTTAAATAAATCATAATCTTGTCCCTTTCCACTGCTTTCTTTCATTGGCATCACTGTCGACAATGCGTGTATTTTCACTCGTACTTGGCAAAATTGCAGTGGATGCTGCCATTGCTTTTGCTTTCTTTGGCAGCACCTGTTTGCCAAATGATTTATGCATTTCACCCATTTTGCCGTCGACGTTTCAGGTGCAACAAAACTAGCAAACAACTGCAAATGCAACTGCAACCCGGCGGCAATGTGGCAATAGCAACAACGCTTAATGTGATTTTCTTGTTAAATGCAAGTCGAGTCGCTCTCTTCGTGAAGAAAAATGGAGCACTTTGCTGCCAGTTTTTATTCGTCGTTGTCGAACCCCTAAATAGTCGTTAGTTTGTTAAGCTTTTAGGCTAACCCCCTCTTTTTTCTGAGTGCTTGTCGTAAAAACATTTCCAAAAACGAGAGTTTTGGGAATACTTCATTAGGTTAATTTAAGTGAATGAGATCGATTATTTTACTCGCTTTGGAAATAGATAGAGCAAGACTTTGCTGTTCAAAATGTTAGCCAATGAAAAAATATCTTGAAATGTGAAGGAGTTTGGTTTAAATTTAAAGGAAACATCATGGAGTAAATAAATTTTAAAATTATTTTACTTGAAAACATTAGCTTGTTTTAAAAATGATTGATTTAATGTTGTCTTGGCTTAAACAACATTTATCTTAATATTTTTTTCAAATTGATTTATTACCATATTGATTGCTAAATTCATTTATTTACATTTTCTGACATCTTTCCCTGCATGTCTTTAAAATCAAGTTATCAAAAAATCGATCATACGCCCTGTGAGCCCACAAAGAGACAGCCTCAAGGCAACCAGAAATCCGACTCCCATTTCAGCAATTCCATTTTCAGCTGTCAACAAATCGAGTGCAGAGAAGATACAAATACAAAAACAAACGGGGCAGGGGCAACTTAATTTATTGAAATGTCCGGAAATGTAAGCATTAAAAGCGCCGCACGACGAATGGAAAACAAAGCATAAATATCTATTAAAATGAGATTGAAATAAATTACAATTTACAGGGAAAGCCAGTGGCGGGGAAATGGGCCTGCGACACGCCATCCCGGGCCATTTAATGCCCCCGATTTCACCATTCCCTTGTACCGATTCGATTGCGAAGGTCAGGTGGCAGTCTCCTCGGTTCTTGGCCAAATGCTGGAGTGCAGGGCAAACACTTCTGCGATGGCGAATGGTCGAGGAGCAGCCATGTGAACATGGGGGGAAATTAAGTGCAAGGATCCATGGATCCATGGCCAAGGAAGCCGGAGGACAACAAAAGGACTCGCATACTTAGACGCACTTGAGCGTGGGGCATGGACTATGGGGCATGGACTATGGGGCATGGGGCATGAAAAATGGCAGCAGGACCGCCCAACGGCAGAGGAAATGAAGCTGAACTTTATTATAACAATACACAATAATCGTGTGCGAGCTGCGTCTCAAGTTTCCTCCTTCGTCCTGATTTTCCGCCATGATGGAGTGCTGCGGAAAACGGAAAGCGGATATGCCGCTCGAAAGGTAAACTGCAGCGGAAGTCAGACCGCACAAAATTATGACGAAAGCAAATACAAATCTTAGGTAAGGGAGCTCTTTTATGAAAAGGTTAATTTTTAAAGAAATATATAGATTTTTAAAAATTATTTTAAAAACTTTTACAATGTTTTTTGTTTTAAAAACAATTATTTTTGACTTCAAACTTTTATAAATGTTTTCTTCTTTGTTAAAATAAAATTAAAAATCAACTTTATAAATACAAACTAAAAAAGCATACAGTTTTTTAAAGATATATAATGATTTTATAAAACATTTGTATAAAAAAAAACTTTTATATTATTTTTGTATCTAAAAACATTAATTTTTCACTTAAAAATGTATCTTAAACTATTAAGCTTAAGTGTTCTTAAGTGTTTGGTTCTTTGTGGAATTAAATATTAAACACAATTTTTTAATTACAATCTGAGAAACCACATATGTCAAATGTTCCACATGACTTGTGTGACTGTAGACTTGAAACAACAGGTTAATTGGCCGCATTTACATCATTTCTGTAATTCCAGAATAAATTAAAACCATCCGGCAAGTTCCCACGTCCCACGGACGGATGCTAATCGATGGCCTGGGTCGTGGCAACTGGAATTTCTCACAGTGCATGCACGTACATTGCACGCGAAGGCGCTTAACTAAACAAGCTGAAAACGTGCAGTCAGGCGGGAAATGCAGAAATGCATTCCAGGAGACCAGGACTCGCTCCTGCGGTTGAATATTCGTGGGCTCCTTACTCACGAAATCCCAGTAAAATGTCAAGTGCACTTCCTATCAAGCCCCCCCAAGCCCCCCAAACCCCGCACTTCTTGTGATTATAATACCCTTGGGTTACCTAAGGACTCGAACTCGCGACTTCCTGAACTCCTGTTCGCATTTCCATCAGTATGCGCCATATTCAAACGGGAAGGTAAAAGGAAATTGGATTTTTGTTGACATTATTTTATAAAAAATATCCGGAGTCCGGACCCGCCAACAACAATGGACTTTGGCATCGTGTCAGTTCGGTCCGAAAAATTCTCAACTCATCGAAAGTTCCTGCTTTCCCCACCAAAAAAAAAAAACCAACAGTTTTCCTCTCGGCATCTGCTGGTTTTACCCTGTATTCTGTTTTCCCGCACGTGTGTGAGTTGGCAAACATATTTTGATTTTGCATAATAAATTGCGTTCTGTGTGCGAACGGCCAAGACAAAGTGGTGCAATATGAAGGGGTTTTGCAAGTGCTCCATGATTCGATAGATGGGATACCCTGTAAAAACAAGGGTGACCCATTTTACATATGCCTTGTGCAGAGAATTTTTAACTTTGTTGGATTCAAAGGTTCAGAAATATATTAGTATAAAATATATTTATCCTATTAGTCCTAAAAATAATATTGTAAAACAAAAACCATTTACTTTTACTTTTAATTCTATTAAAATTATCTAAATTATCGTTTTATCCAAAAAATGTAACTTAAGTTTTCAAAAAAAATTGTATCCTTCAATTAAGATTGTTTTATCGTTGGTTTAATAATTGGTAGTATTTAAATATTATTTCGCCTTTAAAGGAAATATATTAATCAACAATCAAAGTAGTATAATTTTGTATTATCTAACCAAAGAATTAAACTACCACTTTATAAAATATTTCCCGCAATCCCCAGGAACTTATGATATTTGTAAAAATATCAATGGGTATCCACCAGACGTTACAATTTTTGCAGCTTGTGAATTTTTAGGTGACTTGGGTTTTTTACTTTCGCAATTGAGAGATTGCAGCGCAAATGCACTTTGTATGCTGGTGCATCTGTTGAGAGCAGAAACCAATCAAATTTCCATGTTTGATAAATTCCATATGAAAAATTGTGTTGCTTTACTTATTTGTTTTTTTTTTTTATTTTATGGGGGCTCTACTTCCATTTTTTTGAGCTGCAGATGAACTGACAGGCACACGCACCACCCAAAAAAAAAATGGGGTGTCGACTGAGTGGTTGGGTGGTTGAGTGGCTGAGTGGGTCAGGTGGCTGGGTTTTTCGGTCTCGAGAGGCAACAGAATGTAAAACAAATCGCCCCCGGCATTGGACGCTGATGAGGTTGGTTATCGCAGTGGCGCAGAGGTAATGACACGCCCACAAGCCCAACACCACAGTCATCTACGCAAATATGTGTTTAGAACTAAACAGTGGTGGCGTAAAGAGGGTGTACCCCCAAATGAGGGCTCATTAATTTTCCTCATTCATTTGGGACATCAAATTTGTTAAGGTGATTCACAGACACAGAAAAAGTACAGGCATAAAA